CAGTTGTCTGTACTTTCAAGTCCCCTGAATGAATATACAATAAATTATTTTCAATTCTTAAAAATTTTAAATTTTAATTTCAATAAAACTGCAAACCTCGAATTCCAGGATAATACTGTTGGAGTTCTGCTTCCATAAGGAATTCATACAAACCAGGTCCAGTATTACGGGACATTCCCCCTTGTGTGTCTTTAAAATAAAAAAAATATATGTAAACATTATCAACATCTATTAAATAATACTACAGAGCATAAATATTATTACAATAAAATTACTATAAAAATTATTATAGTAATTATTATATATTAAAATTAATATTTGTATTAAAGTTATTATAAAAATTTATGTAAATATGAAACTTTTAATTTAAAATTAATTTATAAGTAAAAACAAAAGCTAATTCAATCAATTATTATTTCGAAAATCAAAACAAATTCTCATTGATAAATTGATCATTAAATCACAATTAATTCATCTCACTTATATTTCAAAATAAAAGAATTTTTGAAATTCTTGAATGAAAGAATAAAAATTTTGTTTCTGCTGTCATCAAATTTATTGCCAAATTATTACCAAACACAAATCATTATTTTTAAATGCAGTTATTATATAAACATACATTATCTGTCACCGATAATATCCCAACGGCATCAAGCAAACAAGTTTTTATCCAATGCTCTAAAAAAATACGGAACAACTCGAAGTTTCTATACAGAAGGAAAGCACGAAATACACATAATGGTGGAAAATAGAAAATAATAGAAGCAAACCAGAGTGGGGAGAGTACAAAATTCCAAGCACACGACAACGATCTGTGTGTAACGTGTGCACCATAGTCATATAATTTTCCCCGATAGATTAGTTAATCGAAGTATCGAAAGTCACTGTGCGTTGCTCGAACGCCAGTTCGAGAAACGTAAGTATCGTCTTTGATAAGTCATTTTTTATATTTATATATATTTTATATATATATAACTGGAATAAAGAACTATAAAAAATAGAAAAATGAAAAACAAAAGTTAGAATAAATTTTATTCTTTGAAAGACACGCCCTGTATGCTTCAAATAGATTATTATTTATATAAGCAAATCCATCAGTTGCACATCGTGGTACTCACCCATTCTACGATGACGCAGCACGGTACACTCGGAGGTCCTTTCCTTGTCATGAGACGCAAGCGTCTGCCACTTTGTTTGACCGATTGGCGGTTCGAAGTTACAAAACTTCTCTCTTTCTTCGTCGTTTTAACTCTCCCCTCCGCCATACAAATTTCGTTTATATTTTTTGTTGAGTTCACATCTTTTATTACTTAAAATGTTATTTTGCATTGAACGATTTTGTCTTTTCTGTATTCGTTAAAGAAGAAAATTTATTCTAGTATTATCACTCGAGAATAAGAATGTTTTTCGCGTTTATTGTGCTTAATTAATTAGCGATTAAAGCGATTCAATACTTCAATTTCATTGCAAATGATTCTATTTGTTTGTGAACGTATCATATAACTGTGATACTAGCTCCATTCGGCGGAAAATTAAAGAAATTATTATAAGAGGTAAATTCAAAATTTTTGTATTCGATTATATGTATTTATATACATGTATACATTATATATGTATTTTTATTTTTTAAAAACAAAAAATTATTTTTTTTTATTTTCAATATCAATATAAAATATTGTGAATTCATATAATTATTAAAATTGTATTTCATTATATTGATATCAATTATTTTCAAGTATTAAATTGTAATACAAATTTTTTTTTGAATGTTATAATTATTTTAAAATATAATTTTATTTAAAAACTAATTTTATAATTATTAGATTGCGAATGCATTTATTTAAATGTCCAAAAATCTACTAAATATATATCATATATGATATTTTCAAAAAACAAAGTATATATTATAATGCTTAAAAATGGAAAAAATTTTTTTATATTTTAGTTACATTTCTATGATTATATTTATAAAAATTCAAATCAATACTAAAAACAAATCTACAATTTAAAAATAATAAGAATACAGAACATGAGTACCACTGAACAGTCATAGAATGTTCAACAATGTTATACTGTTATTGAATTTGAGATAAGAAATTAATAATAAGAAGAATATTAATTTTGTTGCATATAATTAATTATATATGAATATCTTTTAATGAAATAATATTAATTTCAATAAAATGACATCAATATTTTCTGTTAGAATTGTAAAAAGCAATTCTATCGGATACTTAACTCGATTATGTAAGGTTAGTACTTTTAATAATTATATTATTAGAAAAATGATAAACATAATATTAACATAAAATAATATTTAGAAATAATTAGATATTATCAAAATTGTATATATTTATCGAATATTTGTGAATTGTAATAAATATTAAAATAATTTCTTAAAAAATATTTTTTAATTTGAATATTTTTTATTATTAAATTTATATATTATAGATATCAAAGAATTACAATATAACACAAGTGGCATTTATAAAAAGAATTGCGTTTAAAGAATGTATACCTAAACCAGCTCCATATCCTTATTGGAAAAAGATATGCAATGAATGCAATATGATATTGGATCCAACAACTCTTAGATATGATGATAATACCAAATTAATAATTGTAGATGGACCTCCTGCAGTAGGAAAAACTAAACTTTGTGAACAAATAGCAAAAGATTTTGGATTTTTATATATGCCAGCACCAACACATGATGAAATATTTATAAATCATTATGGATTTGATCTTCGTGATCTAAATCCTCAATTACCAGAATCATGTCGTTTTTATGATTTAAAAGATTTTTTAAAAAATCCTCATTATTATAGAACAGCATCCATCCAATTAGGATTTTTTAACATGAGACTTGAACAATATTTAAATGCACTTGTTCATATATTAGCAACTGGACAAGGTGTAGTACTCAATCGATCCATTTTTACAGAATATGCTTTTATGGATGCTATGCATAAAGCTGGATATCTTAGTGACTTAACTGTGAAAGAATTTGAAATGATGAGAAAAAATTCATTCAAATTTCTGTTAAGACCACACTTAGTTATATATTTGGATGCATCTCCAGAAATCATTCTAGTAAGTTTATTTTTATTTTTAAAAAATTGTTAATTAATATTATAGATTAATACTATACAAATATATTAATTGAATGTATTATACATAGGAAAAAATTAAAAAACGAGGTAATGTGGATGAAATTAATTCAAAAGTTTTAACAACAAAATATTTAACAGATTTAGAAAATTCAGTTAAAGAAAAATGTTTATCTTGGCTATCATCACACTCACATATATTAATCTATGATTGGTCAAAAGAAGGCAATAATATAGATGTAATTCAAGACATTGAAACTTTAGATTTTGAAGAAGATCAACATAAAGAAAAACTTCAAGATTGGGTATTTGTTGATACTGATCAATTAATTAACTTTTTGGAAATGTATCAAGATAAGAAATATATATTTGACTATATGAATCAGAAGACAGAACCTATTGTTGCTACCGATATGTATCTTGTAGATGATGAAAAGGATATTCAAGTGGAAATACTTGAGTCAGTAAGTATACACCAATATGCTACTTTGTATATTTTATAATTGTATAATTAAATAACTTATTAAATTATTAATTTTTTATAGATAATAAAAATTTTATATAATGTTTCAGGTTAATTCAGAAAAATATCAACCTGGATGTAATCCACATTATGATAAGATTCCATGGATTACAAAAAAAGAGTCCCCAATTACTTCTATTTATCGTCGAACGCCTCGTGATTTTGTAAATTGCAATTTATTTAAATTACCATGTTAAAAGTTATTTATTTTATTATAAATCTTTTAGATGATTATTATAGATCTTTATAGATGTCAAAATAAGTTAATATAATAAAAAAAATTAGTATTATAATATATAATTGTATTTGCAGTTTCTTTTCATAACTATTTGAATAACATAATAAAATATTGACAATTCTAATATGTTTTTAAAAAATACTATATTATATAAAATTAAGAATTACTAATTTAAAAAAAAAAAAGAACAGATTTTAAAAATTAATGAAATTATTATTTTGTTTTAATAATCATATTTGTTAAAATTATAAAAATGATATATATATTTTGTTCTGAATATAATTTATAGATTCTGTTTATTGTGTATATTAAAAAAGATTTAATTGTGTTAGACAATATATTATATAAAGTTTTTCTAAATTTTTTGATTGTATTAGAGTAAAATTATATTGCAAAAATATTGTTATATGAAGACTTACATTATTTTATTTTTATATCAGAAAACAAATATTAAAAATATAACATATTAAAAATATAAATATATTTTCAAAATTACATAAATAAACATATATAATTTTTCATGCATATATATGCGCATATAAACATATATTTAACTAAAACTATTATAAATTAGAATTTTATCTTTAAAACTAATATAATTTATACACATACACAGAAAGATTAATTTATAAAAATTATGAACTAATTTAAAAATATGTCAATTTCATTTTTATATGCTTTAGCAATAGTTATAGAATTATATTCATGATATTATAATTTAATTTCAATTTTTTTTTAATTTACATTAATTGTATTAAACAATTTAATTTTATGAAATTTAATATTTATTTAAAAAACATAAAAGATCAAGGGATAAGAAAAAACATTCTTAATAGCAAAAATATTCTTCATTCACTATTATACTATATTATATTGTAAATAAAAATTAAAATAACTGTTTATAAAACTATATTTTTTCATTTTTTAATAATGAAGAAATTCATTATTAAATTCATTATCACTTCATTTAAATAAACATAACAATTATATTTATATTATATAATTATTTTTCAATAATGACTAACTTTATTTTACAATGTTCCTTTGAATTTTGTCAATATATAAATAAAATAAAAATCAAAATGTTTCTATGCACAAACTATAGCACAATTTTTTACAACCAAGCTTTTATAAGAAAAAAAAATAATTATGAATCAATAGAAAATATTGAAGTCAATTAAATGAGTTTGGCAGTAACCTGATACACCATTTAAGTGCATTAATACATATATCTTATATACAATAAATTTATACACAAAATATTGAATTTTACCACATGATGCTAATTACATATACAATTTAGAAATTATTCCTTTTAATAAAATTTGTATGATACTAATTCCTTTGCATTTTGAGTTAAAATTACAAAATTACAATAATATTCACTGAAATATATCAGTAATTTTTAATAACAAAAATTTTAAGGGGCTAAACTGCAACAAGAATTAGTTTTACGTGCAGTTTTATAAAATGCTTTTGATTGAACACTAAGCCCTTGTGATTTAGAAACCAAGTCATCCAAATTCTCACCTCTTTTAAGAACAGCTTCTAATGTATTATGCTAGAAAATGCATAAAAAATAATTAAATTTATTAGATTTTAATTAAATTAATTTAAAACATATATCTTTATAGGTAATTTAAGATTTATACTTACTAAAATAATCTTTGTTTCATCTAAATCATTTTGCATTTTAGTAAGAGCATCAGCTTCATTAGGATTTTGATATTTGGCTAAATATACATTTATCTGTGCAAAATCAGTCATAACTTCATTTAATGTATCCCATGTAGATTGTGGATATTTAGATGCAAATTCATCCATAACTTTTGTAATTAACGTATGAGCTACTCTTCTAGGATATTCATGATCTGATATAAGTACTGCAGCAAGATTATCTGCTCGTACAAACACATGACACATGTAATCTGCAAAACAATACAATCAAAAAATTTTAAACATTTCATATAAAATTTAATGTTTTCACAAATACCTCCTTCTTTTACACTCTGTCTGGAGCAATTCTGAGTTCTTTCCACAATAGTTTTACTTATAAATGTCATAAATTCTTTTACACTTCCTCTTTGAAAAAACGAAAATCTATCTACGTCATAAGCAGCTTTCAACGTTGTCGCTGACGTAGGATTTTTGTATAAAACTGACAACGCATATAACTTTACCATTTTCTAAGCTGCAGAATGATTTATCTTTATAATTGTATTAAATGTCTAATATTTTGCAAAAAAAAGATTTATTGCATTAATTTTTCAGATACACCGCTATTAAAGAAAATATTTTATTATATGACACTAATATACATTAAACTTACCACAAATAATATATATTTTTATTAAATTGTTTTATTGAACAAAACACATCAGATTATATTTACTATTATATTTTTGTTCATTCCTAAGAAAAATTTAATAATTACCTCTAGTTTCATTTACGACTACACCTACTTTGATATTAGTAAAAAAGAAACCGCCATGTTCCTTATTTATAATATGATTCTCAATCGATCATACATTTCGTTATGAATTTCATATATTTATTTTACGTTATATGAACATAATAAATAATTATATCACATAATACATATCATAATTAATAAATAATACATTATATAAAAATATATTACAATAATTTTAAATTATGCATTATTTATGAAATATTATATATTATAATAAAAAAGATCTAAGAATACTTTTTATGATCATATAAAATCACATTTTAATATTAATTATAAGGTATACTTCTAGTTATTTATATAATTTCTATGAAATTATTGAATATTAGACAAATTGCAGTTTCCCGCCAGGAAATTAAGCAATGATAATGTAGAGTTGGTAACCATGTCAGTAATATATATTGCTTTGCATCTTATAATCATTGATCGTTTCTTTTCAAGAAGTTTAACATATTTTTTTAATAATATCATTTTTAAATCTTTATGCAAAAAATTATTCTAATATTAACATAAAATATAATCTTTTTACATTTTTCTTTAAGTGACAATAAACATGACAACAGCATTGTATCTAGAACATTATTTAGACAGTAAGTATTCAATTTTTCTTGCTAAAAAAAATAAAGGAAATTATATTTTTTTACATTTATATTAAATGTAGAATTAATTCAAATTATATTATTTAATAAATACAGTAATAATGAAAGACTCAACATTCTGTAATACCATTCTAATTCTTATTCTAATACTGTTTATAAAATATTTTCTGCTAATCTAATTTCATTTTACCAGGTTTGGAACATCTACCTATTGAATTACAAAGAAATTTCACTTTAATGCGAGATCTTGATGCTAGAGCACAAGGATTAATGAAAGATATAGATAAATTAGCAGATGATTATTTAAAAAATGTAAAGAAAGAATCCCCAGAAAAGAAAAAGGAACAATTGACTCATATTCAAAATTTGTTTAATAAAGCAAAGGAATATGGTGATGATAAAGTTCAATTAGCAATACAAACATATGAATTAGTTGATAAACATATTAGGAGATTAGATTCTGATTTGGCTAGATTTGAAGCTGAAATACAAGATAAAGCTTTAAATAGTAGTAGGGCACAAGAAGAGAATAATGCTAGTAAAAAGGGTAGGAAAAAATTAAAAGAAAAAGAAAAACGAAAGAAAGGTGCTGCAGGTACTAACAGTGAAGATGAATCAAAAACAGCTAGAAAAAAACAGAAAAAAGGTAAAATTAATTACTATTATATTTTTTGATTCATCTATGTTTTTAAAAAAAATTATTTATATTAAATATATTTTTTTAGGAGGATCTGTTGCTTCTGCTTCATCAGCTGGAGCTGTAGGAAGTGGTGCTCAAGTAGACTCTACTGCACTTGGTCATCCAGCAGATGTTTTAGATATGCCAGTTGATCCTAATGAACCAACTTATTGCCTATGTCATCAAGTTTCTTATGGGGAAATGATAGGTTGTGATAATCCAGATGTAAGTGAATATTATTTATTTTAAATTTATTTAAATATTTGTAATTTTTAATATTCTCTGTTAATATAGTGTCCTATAGAGTGGTTCCATTTTGCATGTGTTGGATTAACTACAAAACCTAAAGGAAAATGGTATTGTCCAAAATGTACACAAGATAGAAAAAAGAAGTAAGTTTTATGAAATGAAACAATATTGATTTATTTTAAAATAAAAAAAAATTCATGCACTATTACTAAAATTATAATACAATATTTTTCATGGTTTAACATGAAAATGAGCTGATTTGTATAAAGATAAACAAATAGGAAATTTAAGTAAAAAAAAAAAAAAAAAAGTAATATAGAATCAGTCACAAAAATATTCAGTAAGAAATTTAATATTTTAGTATTTTGAAAAATCTGATTTTAATGAAAATTTTTATGTATATAAAGCATAATAGATTATATGTAGAATAATTATTTTTCAACAGAAAATTTTCTTGAGTATATCAAAACAATCCTCAAATTTTTATTATTTTTACTTGTTTTATATACAATTTCAATTGAAAATTTTTAATAAAGCAG